AAGCACTCCATAAGTTCTTGGCTCGACGAGGCCTCTCGCTTCTCCCCTTCGCCCTTCTCGCCTGCTTTTCGCCTAATCTGCTTGCGACAGCTTATTCGTCGTCGCGCCTTCGAGGCGTCCACGATGGCGTCAGTGATTCGTCCGTCCACGAACCTCGTCTGTCCAGGAATCTTCATCCCTACTGGAATCCGCAATCAACAGGTTTACGGCAGTGGTCTCTTCAGCCACAGTTGAGCCTTACTCCCGTTCGCCCCCCCCTACTGAAGAGTCTACGGTGGTCAGAAGCTCACGAAGCAGGAGGTTCCTTCAGTCTCTAGCGGAAAAAGACCAGCGGCGTGCGATTGCAATGAACGTCGCAGATGTCAACGTACGAAACAGCTCTGGCAACTCAGGCGGCCCAAGTGACGTGATCGAGTCTTGGGAACCCCGCGAGGATCGTTACTTGCTCGCTCTGTGCTTCTACGGCCGGCTGTCCAATCAGGAGGTCTGCATGCGCAGCTACTTAATCTTCGCGGCGCTTCTAAACCGCACTCTCTTAGTTCCAGACCCGGGATTCGCGCACCACTTCCAGACGTGGTACAGATGGCGGTGGAGCTTGATATTCGACATCCCGCACTTAAGGGCGTGTCTGGCTGACGCGTACGGCAACACAACCGTGCTTACAGTGGAGGAGCTTGTATCGAGGACGAACCAGAATGTGACTGTAGACCACATTGCCTGTGCGGAGGGGAGGTCCTGCATGGATGAGATTCAACTGGTGAGTACTCTCCCACTTATCGCGTCCTCTGTCCCTTTTCGGAAAAAGCATACGCCAATCGCCCAATCCCACGTGGTATACTTGAGTAAGATCCTCTCCTCCTCGTCACTCACCCATGCTCCCTCTCTCCCGTCTCTGCCCCCTCCCCCACTCACTACTGACAGTCCTTCGCCAAGCTTCCCAATGTCACCTTCCCAGACAAGCTAGAGCACCGCTGGAACCCTCCCCCCTCAGGACCTCATTTCGTTCTCTTGTTGACTCAAGCAACCCCTCTCTCCCGTGTCTGCTACCTCCCTACCCCTACTGACAGTCCTTCGCCAAGCTTCCCAACGTGACTCTCCCGGACAAGCTAGAGCACCCGGAGTCAGGGCGTCAGGACATCAACTCGTTCCGTGCTGCATATGCTCCCTATGCCAACACACGGGTGCTCAGCCTGGGGAACATCTACGGCCTCCTATTGAACGGCAAGACCGGAAAGATGCTGCATGAAACCAAGCCTCCCTTCCGAACCTCGTGCCTGGACCTCTGGGAGCCGCCACCAGTGGTTCGGCAGTTTGTTTCGGGGTTTATTGATACCTTTTTGGGGGATGATTTTGCCGCAGTGCACATGAGGAGAGGGGATTTTTCGCATGCTTATCTGAGGAATGAGGAGAAGGAGCAGAACAGGAACCCGGCTTTCCTGCCAATTGCTTCTATTGCACGCTACATTGTGTCGCGGTTGAGTGGTCGTGGCATCAGCATTCTTTACCTCGCCACAGATGCAAGCCTGGCTGAAGTGCAATTCCTGGAAAAGCTGCTGCTGGGTGAGTGCATGGGGGAACTTATGACCCTGTTTGTTGCTGTTTCTTGGTCGTTTCGTCAGATGGTTTGCGTAAATGCCTTGGACGTAGCGCTGCATGTCTCACACATCGTTTTGCCCGTTTCCATGCAGAGCTGGACTCAAAAGCTCCGTTCATCGTAGAGAGGCTTCCTCAATTCAGCAAGGGCTCCTTGGAGTATAAGGAGTCCGATTGGGTGCGAGATTTTGAAGACCTGGACGAGGAAGACAAAGGCATCCTGAAGGCCCTCGCCGAGAAGCACATATGTGCAAGAGCGCAATACTTTATTGGTACACCAAAGTCCACCTTTTCATCAGATATAATTAGAATAAGGGAAGTCGAAGGGCGAGCATCAACGGTAGACTCCTACTTAGGAGATTCTGGTTGATAAGTAGAACTATTAATACATAGTAGAAGAGCTTGGGTTCAGATTTCGAAGTCCGTTGCAACTCCTCTGTGCCCTCTACAGTAGGTTGCTGTTACAGCTACCAAGCCTATAATTATATATAACAAACATGTAATTTAGCTCTGTGTTATAAACTGGACAGCCTAACAGCGCCACACAAAGCAATAAATTCAGAAATCTCTGAACGCTGTACAATGATCAGGCTTGATCGCCCTCGGTCTTGCGACGGTGTTTAACTCACCTCCTCTGTCGTCGCTAGTTGTCGCCCCGCCTCCTCTGCCTGACTACCTTCGTGCCGCTCGTCCACTTCAGGGCCCAAAATGTTAGAAAGAGAGAATGACTAGAATAGGAAGATACAGGGCAATATACACTAGTGTGCTTTACCCTCTAAGGCACAAACCTGTATAGTCTAGAGTAACAACATAAGTTATGTTTGACAGACCCCCTAGACTATATAAGGGCAATGCCTAACAAGGGAAGAAGCAGCTTCGGGCGGTACTACTAGTCCATAACAAACAGTAAAATTGATGATGTTAGAGAGAGAGAGTACACAAACATATACCTAACAGTTGTACTCTCTAGAAGATGACCCTATACAGTCTATACAAGCATGATAACTAAACATGTTTGACACACCCCCTGGACTGCATAGGGGAATGTTCTAGACAAGCAGCTCAGGGTGGCACTACTAGTCCAGCCTCTGAGACAAGGGTCTAAAAGACCAGTCAGAAGGAGTACAGGCAAGGCAAGAACTAGTACAGGGCGGCACTACTAGTCCAACCACTAAAAGAGGACACAAGTCCAGTCTGAGTGTACACACAGATATATAGGACAGTACAGAGTCAAGGCCCGAGTAAGTGAGAGACTACAGGAACCAGACCAAGCTGCACACAGTGCCGCTGATGATCTTTAGGCGCAAGCGCCTTCGTAAAGATATCAGCTGTGTTGGCACCGGAGGCTAAGTGTACTACGCGAGCCTGGCGACGCTGCTGTAGCTCACGCAGGAGGAAGTACCGCAGCTGGATGTGCTTCGCTCTGCCCTCGAGTCGAGGCTCCTGACACAGGAGGATCATGGCCCTGTTGTCAGCGTACAGGACCGGGGCAGAGCTAGGGCGCTCACCTAAGTCAGTGAGCAAGAAGGTCAGCCAGCGGAGCTCCTGTGCCGCCATGGCACCGGCGTAGATCTCGGCCTCACAGCTGGACTGGGCAACAGACGAAGAGCGGGTAGCTCTCCACGAGACAGCACCTGAACCAAGGCTAAAGCAGTAGCCCTGGGAAGACCTGAGCGTCTCGGCGTCGTCTGCCCAAGAAGCGTCTGTGTGTCCAGTAAGGACCACTGGCCTGCGTCCGCCTAGCACTAACCCCATGCCCGATGTACTTGCAAGATAACGCAAAACCCTCTTAGCGGCAGACCAGTGCTGAGGTCGGTGCCTGCCAGTGGCCACGAAACGAGCCAGGATGCTGAGAGGGTATGCGAGATCTGGGCGAGTGCAAGTCATCAGGTACATGAGGCAACCCACTAGCTCAGCGTAAGGACCACTGGGATCTACCGACTCCTCAGGAACTGGAGCGGAGAGTCTGTGGTCCAGAGGAAGAGGGGTGGGCTGTGCGGAGGAGAACTGAAGGCCGAACCTCTGAAGGACCTGGCGCACCAAGTGTGACTGAGTCAGGGTGATGGTGCGCGCGGCTCTGTCCCTGGAGATCTGCAAGCCAAGGTAACGGCGCAGCTCTCCAAGGTCAGTGCAGGTGTGTCTCTTCAGCAGCTCTGCCTTCACGGAGGCCAGTGCGTCCCTGTCAGCAGTGGCAAAGACCAGGTCGTCTACGTAGACGAGGATGTAGAACGGAGTCGAGCCAACACGAACGAAGAGCGAGGGGTCTGCAGAGGACGGAAAGAACTGCAGGTCAGCAAGGGTAGCACGCAAAGTGTCGTGCCACTCACGAGGCGCCTGGCGCAGGCCGTAGACTGGCCGCCGCAGAAGCCACTGGGTCCCAGGGGGGAAGGTGCCAGTAAAGCCCTGAGGGCGACGCAGGTAGACCTGCTCGTGAAGGCTGCCCTGAAGAAAGGCAGTGGAGAAGTCGAGGGAGTGAAGCTCGTAGTCACGCTGAGCCGCTACGTGTAGCAGCACCCGAAGAGTAGTCATCTTCGGGGTAGGAGCGAAAGTCTGAAAGAAGTCCACCCCCTCGCGCTGACTGAAGCCTCTAGCCACGTAGCGCGCCTTGAACACAGGCGGCTCTCCAGGAGGGCGCTTCACCTTGAAGAGCCAATGGCCATCGACCACGTTCACCCTAGGTGGGGGAACTGCGTCGACGAAGGTGCCGGTGGATCTCCAAGATGCCATCTCCTGCTCCATGGCAGCTATCCACTGAGAGGCCCAGGGTCCCGAAACCGCCTCAGTGTAAGTACGAGGGGTCGGGATGTCGAAAGCGTCTGGGTCACCCTCAGGGACTAGCAGCATGGAACAGAGATGGGGAGCAGCCTCGGACAGGAAAGCAAGCTTAAACTGGCGGTCCTCCAGGACGTCACTGCCGAGGGCAGGAGCACCCCCGACAGACGGAGGACAGGCAGGGTGAGAGACCAGAGCGGTGGCGTAGTCAAGGCGGCGGGTAGAGGCGAAGTCAGCGACCGCAGCGACGAGGGCGTCAAGACTCGACACGGGAACAGACGGGTCGGTAACGAGAGAGGCAAGGACCCGAGGAACAAGAGGACGAGCGGCACGAAAGGAGTCGGACAGAGGAGGAGACGCAACGACAAGAGAGGACGGAGGAGGAGACGGGAGGAGGGGAGGACGAGACGCGTGGGACCGGAGCAACATAGGGTGAGAGCGCGGGACAGGGGAGACAGGACGAGCACGAGAGGGGCGGCGAGACCAGACGTGAGAGGGCGGCGTCGGGTCAGGAGACAGAGGAGGGGACACGGGTGGGGAACGAGGGGGAAGACGAGCCGGGGACGAGTCTGGCAGAGGGAACACGGGGCCGTAGACGGGAAGAGGGGGAGACGGCAGGAGAGGAACAGGCGCAGGGTCAGGAGACGGAAGGCCGAGCAGACGGAGGGCGGACACAGGCGGGGACTGCTGCTGCGGCGACACAACACCAACACCAGGGCCACAAGCTGCGCGACGGCTACCTCCCGAACCCTCCACACCTGCACCCCCAGAAGGGACACCCCCAGAGTCCACAAACGGCGGCAGCGACGACAGCGGCGGCGGCGGCGGCGGCTGCAGCGACGGCTGCGACGGCGGCGGCGGCGGAGACGACGGCTGCAACGGCGGCGGCGGTGGAGACGACGGCTGCAGCAGCTGCGGCGACGGCGGCTGCGGAGGCGGTGGAGGAGGAGACACCGGGGGAGGGACAGACGGCGAGGACTGCGCCGGAGGACTACCAGAGTCAGAAGACTCGTCGACCGGGACGACCGACGGGAGGGGGGTGACGTGAGACACACCAGAGGGGGCCGGACGGGGGGGCGGGGGGGGGGGAGGGGCAGGGACCACCAGGGAGGGAGGAACCAGGAAAAGGGGGGGAGTAACCGGGGGACCACGGTGGGGAAAGCGGCGGTAGAAGGAGACGGACTCGTCAAAGGTGACGTCGCGAGAGTGAAAGAAGCGGTGAGACGGCGGGTGGTAGAAGTGCCAGTCGGACGCGTCAAGGGGGAAACCGAGGAAGACGCAGGGGAGGGTGCGGGCAGTGAGCTTGTCCGTGCCAGAGGCACGAACGTGAGCAAGGCAGCCCCAGACGCGGAACGCAGACGCGTCACCAGGGGACCCGGTCCACAGAAGGGTCGGCGAAACCTGCGGCCGCTGGGGGTGCGGCCACAGGTTAAGCTGGTGAGCGGCGTAGCGCACGGCGAACGGCCACAGAAAATGGGGTGCACCGGCGTGGATCATGGAGGTGCGAGCCACCTCCATGACCAAACCGATGCGTCGCTCAGCGACCCCATTCTACTGCGGGGAGTCCGGCAGGGTAAACGTCTGGGTGATGCCCTCCGCACGACAGAAGCGACCAAGGACACCTGAGGCAAACTCGCCACCCCGGTCGGAGTGAAGGCGCAAGGCAGGGAGACCGCGGTGGACACGAGCAGAGACAAGCCAGGGGATGAGAACGTCAGGCACGTCGGCCTTCCGCTCCAGGGGGAAGACGGTGGTGTAGCGCGTGAAGTCGTCGACAAGCACTAGGAAGAAGCGCTCGCGACGCGGCCCATGGACCGGGGCTGGGCCCCAGACGTCCATGTGCAGAGTCTGCAGTGGTGCGGTGGTAGGGGGAAAAGAGGAGGAGTGAGGGGCACGGCGGAGCCGGCCCTCGACACAAGGCGTGCACGGTGGGGCGGGGGAGGAGGGAAACTCGGGGAACGAACCGGGGAGACCAAGGACAAGACCGTGCTGGGACATGTGACGCAGACGTGGGAGTGCAGGGTGACCAAGGCGGTGGTGCCAAAGGAGAGTCGGGTGAGTGAGGGACCGACAGGAGCACGCGGCTGCAACCTGGGTGGACGCAACTACCGGGGGGGAAGACCCAGCCGGGGACGGCGCGGTGTCAAGTGTGAACAGGCCGGACACCGGGTCCCGGGGGAAAGTGGTAAGGGGGGCACCAGTGGCGGCCTCGGTACAGACAGCATACCGCTCGTGACCAGGGAACGTAGTGGTGACGCCAAGGTCCTGGAGGCAGCCGACACCAACTAGGTTCCTGGAGAACGAGGGGATATGCAGACCGGTGAGAGTGCCCGAAGGAACCGCCGGACAGGGAAGGGAGGTGGAACTGCGGGCAACGACGGGACCACCGGAGGGGTCAGCAAGAGTAACTGCAGCGGGAACAGGCAGCGGCGTCAGCGTCGTGGAGTCGCGGAAGAAACACCGGGAGGCGCCAGAGTCCAAGGTGAAGGAAAGCGCAGCAGTCGCGCGAGGCAGCAGTGAAGCGGTGGAAGCACCAAGGCTAAGCAAAGCAGGAGATCCTACGCCTGACGCAGCAGGGGAGTCTACGCTAGGCACCGCTACACTAGGCAACACGGGGTAATAAGAGGGAAGC